TGTAGAAAGGTTCGAGCTTCTCTAAGAATACTGAAATGTTTATGAAGGTCGCCAAATTCAGAGAGAAATTTAGGTTGCGGATCTACCGAGGATGCGTGCAACCTGCCCTGGTTCAAACGAAGATATTTTCCATAAAACTCAACAGTTTGCAAATCTGAAACCAGTGTCGAATACTAGATTTCCTCTCTTTAAAAACTCCTTAGGCTGCTTGTGAAGTTTCTGGGATTCATGAGATAATTGCGTTGGGGATTTACTAGGAAGCACCGAGCTGCGCGAAAAATCCTTTTTCTGTGTACCGTTTCAAGCGAACGTACTCTGATATCCAGGAATGCATCTGGAATGCATCCCTTCTTGGATAGAAGCAAGGAGTGGGTTTTTAGCGGCCATTAGCTTCATTTGTGAATGCGCCATGCCTAGGCTCCCACGCAGAGGTAATGGAATGGTGCAGTTCCACGCAATGCCTGTCCACAAGAGCAGATGTGTTTACAGGATTCAGGGAGTTCTATGACCAACCTACGCACTTGTTTACAGTGTTTTCCGTTGCGTATGATGGGGCGTGTCCGTGTCCGACACCGCCAGATCTGTGCTCCGCCATTTGCTGACTCTGATAAAGGAGACCAACAGCTTGAAAACGTCTGATACGAACGGATACAAACGATATGGTTGTCCTTCGTTTGTCGTAAGAAAAAAAGACAGGTTGGCTCAGCGCCAATCGCGGTCGCCCGGACACCCCATCATCCGCAGCGGACCAGGATATGAGTTGTACTGTTTAGCCATATACCCACTTACGAGAAGATGTAGACTTATTAATATTTCCAGTTAATTTCTGATTAGTTTATCAAAAAGTTTTGTACTATTTTTTTACATATCCTACAAAGCAAGTTTCGCTACACAGGACTCAGCATACTGACACCTTTGCGCTGCGCTCGTTACTGGCTATCGCACTCATTACGACCTCCCCCCCCCGTCTCCCAGCGGCCAAATACGACCCCCTGTTGGGGAATCCCCAACAATGATGTGCCCTGAGCCAAGAGAATGTCCCACTTTCGCAACCCCACAGCGAGCGAGGAAGGTGTTACAGCCACCGAAAGTTTTAGTCGTAACACCCTTTCAGATGGACTGCCTATTTGCTGGATGTCCTCCCCATATCTAACGCAGGACCAATCGGTTGTTTGTTCTTTGTTGGGGTGGCGGGCCTTCATCGGAATTGCATGTCCATTGTGCTGACTGCGCTCGTGCACACAAGCGATTCCGTTCTCCTTTATTACATTTTATTCAATAGGAGCACATACAGTCAACTGCAACCCATCTCGCAAAGGAAAGCGCGTTGAAGTCACCAGTGAAGCACTTTTTTGGTGCAAAAGCTCGGCTACACTGGAAGATGCACGCTACCGTAGTCCTAACTTGTACGCGGAGTTCCTGAAAGTGTTCTTTTACGAGTTTTCCGCCGGCATTTTTGTTGTTTTTCGTATTCCTTTCTTTGCATTGGTGACGTATACTATTGGGAGATGCGAAAAAGCGATTCGTGAGCCAGGGGTTGCACAGAGACCGCAGGGTGGTGTGACTGCCAAGGAGCGAGTTTGCTCATGGTATTGTTGACGATTTTTTTCCCTTTTTTTTCTTCATTGGGGAACTACTCATCAGCTGCTGGAAGTCCAAAAACAAGGAGTAACTTCTAAACATTGTTCAGTAATGCTATTCGTTGGGAGTGATCGGAAGGGAACATTGAATAATATTCAGCCAGCTTCACAATGAAAGGACCATCGAATGCTGGCTTGAACACTTTTCAAACTATTAGGTTGGTGTCATACTTTTTTGAACCCAAGTATTCGCCTATTACCTGAACAGCGCTACCAGTAATGTGAGCATTTATACACTAAGGATTGGTCTTTCTATTAGTGTCACTGGCTCGGCTTCTGCTCATCCTTATTCTGCATTATGGACAAGAATGTTATCCGCTACCTTCAGCACCGACCCCTTCAAGCGCTTCCTTAAAGACACATGGTACCCTCAGACACATTGAGGGTGTATGAGACTATCAGCCTCCTACTTGTTGATATGTCGTGGTCCTCCTGCACGGGGTCAGAGTACGGGGCCGTGGGAAAGTCGTAATTCCTTGCTACGCCGCCCGTTTTTGCAAACTCACGTTTTTACTGAAACCGTCCGCGCGGCGCGGTCGCGTGCAGCTCTTTTGGCTTTTTGCCAAGTCCTGTAATTGCGCTTTGGAATACAAGTACAGCGCAATTCCTTTATGCGGATACATTTAAGGTGCTGCAAAATAAGAACTGAAGATGATGACGAGAGCTAGGTCAACTCAAGAGCAACGGTGGTGCTTCTGCAATATCCCTCAGAGGCCGCACATTCCCACAGAACCTGACAATAAAAACGGCCTAAGCGTCCCACTCGTTAGTTTGAAGTATTTCTATAGCTTTAGAACCGGATTCGAGCTGGATCGCAGAAATGCACACGTGATTTTGATTTATTGCGCTTCTTTAGTTTTTTTTCAATTTTGTTTTATTTACATCTACATTTGTTGTTCTTCGTTTCTAGCCTTTGTCATCTTCATTACCTTCCTATTCGGACTTTAAAGCATGAGCAATACCTCAAATGTTAGGGAATTGCGTTTTGCTTGTATTGTCATGCTGTCCGTTTTATTGTCATGTTCTGTGTGGAATGCGCGGCCTCTGAGGGATATTGGCAGAAGCAGCACAGTTGATCTTGAGTTCTAGCCCTCGTCATCATCTTCGGTTCTTGTTTTCCAGCACCTAAAATGTTATCCGCATAAAGAAATTGCGTTGTACTTGTATTCCAAAGCGCAATTACAGGACCTGGCAAAAAGCCAAGAGAGCTGCACGCGACCGCGCCGCGCGGACGGTGTTAGTAAAAACGTGGGTTTGCGAAACGGGCGGCGTAGCAATGAATTACGACTTTCTCACGGCCCCGTACTCTGACCCCGTGCACTTTTAGGCGGCGGACCACGACACATCAACAGCTGGGGGGCTGATAGTCTCATACATCCTCAATGTGTTTGAGCGTACCATGTGTCTTTAAACTATTTCTTCTACCACCCTGGCGCTAGCGTGGCAGCTGTCGACGCCGAAATAGTGGAGCTGCACAAGGACGTCTACAGTCATCAGACAATCTTCCACGATGCTAGCTCTTCAGAGAGGGAGCCTCCGGTTCGAACGACGAAGTGAGGTTCGATAGTACCTGCAAACTCAGCTCCAGATAGCGATGGGTAGCAACTGGATGAAGAAGCTGCCTCCGCGGTCAATCCGTACGCAAAGCAGCCATGAGATCTGAAGCAAATCGTCAAGCAGAGGGCAAAATTCATCGGCACAGTCCGTCTTCAACGTGCTGGTGCAGCATACCCCGTCAAAAAAAGTTCGAGCCGTACTTCATGCAACAGAGCTCGATGTCTCTCCCCTTGCACCGGTGTAATCCAGACATTGCTCCTTCTGACTGCTAGTCGCCTCCCGTATTCAACCGTTATACAACAGAGAGAACCTCCACGACTTGAGTCCAGGTCAAAGTTGAGATGATGTCCAACTTTGCGTCGCGCCGGCGTGCATTGTTAAGCGATGGCATCCACAAACTGTCCAAAAACTGGGAAAGATCTCTCAATAACATTGCTGTATAACTTTGATTTTGTACGCCTCTCTGTAAAAAGAAACTCTAATTTGAAAAAAAAAGTGACAGAACTTTCCCGCCAACCTATACATCACAAAAAGAGCACAAAATACGAGCGGGAAGGGTGTCAAAAAGGTCAAACGGAGAAAGGGAACGGATAGCTTGAGTCGAATAAGCCAAAGAGGAACTGAAACAAAAAGAAAACAGTCGCACCACCCTTCAGCAGTTGGGTATCCAGAAGCGTCCTTAAGTTGAACAACGATTCCGACCCATATCAATGGAAGAGGGCAACAGTGCTTTATGATTCCACCTTCAGCCAAGCGATGTCGTTGTGCTCTAGCTTGTCATAGCAATGTCCTACAAGAAGAGAAGCAAAGAACTACATCGAGTTACGGCTGGATCCGTTTTACGTGCACCCACGTGAATGATCAGCTTCGAGTAGACCCCTTTCAAATGGATCAGCATCAAGAGTACCTCTGGAAGCGAACTCAAGGGTTACGAGAACACTGCCGTAAATTGGCGATAAATTTCAGCAGAATAGCACTATTCCACAAACACAATAATAAGGTCACCACCGCTAAGAGCTATCGAGCCATACTAGAACACGAGATGAGACGAAAAGTTGTTCCCCAGGACTCTCTAGGAAATTATACTGATTATACTGATAACGCCAGAACGCACAAAACATGCGAATGAGCACTAGGAATGGAAGGAATCTGTGAAAAGTGTCAACCATCCGATTTGCCCGAGATCATCTCTCTTGTATGATTGTTGTACATCTCTTTTTTTGCACCTTTCTACATCTTATCTCTCAAGGGTTCCTTGCTCTAGTGCTCACATGCTGACTTGTCTGAGTTGGGAAGCAAGCCCGATACTACAGCTGAAAGTGGTATGCTACGAGAGCAATACTGATGTATCCAGCAACGTCGAGATCGAGTGCAAAAGCTCGTGGACAAAAACAGGGTCTGTATATAACGTAAGCCAAATTTCGCGATTCTGTACCATTTTCTTAGTGGACCTTTAAATGAAACTCGCACCTAAATTCAACCCTTAACTCGATCATTCTGATGTATTGGTAAAATGCACCTCTCTTAACAACATGACTAAATTCGAAGCGCTCAAATAAGGGTGCAAGTAAGAGCCTACGCTAGTCCAACAGTATCCATAAGAACCGTACATGCAAGTCCTCGAGAAAAGTTGAGCATAGATCTGATTCACAATTCTGTCAGAGTTTTTAGGCAAAGAATCACAATTGAATACTTGTGTCTACATTCCAGGAAAGATGGTGATTAAAAACACTTGAAAAAGAAGTTTTCTATCTTCACTAGCCCGCTCTTGATAAATAATGATCCAGCATTTATAACAAGCACCTGACTTGGCTGTACGATGGCTTCGTTTTCGCTGATGAGTCGCGAAATTTTCTCCTCAACCGATTCTGCGTCGATAGTGCTGCCAGTAGCAGCACTGCTTCTAACTGCACCAGAAAAAGTACTATCATGATGATGTTGGGTATGCTGCATACATCTGCCACTTGCCAGTTGACAGCTCTGCAAAACATGCGCAATAATATTAGAGCACAAGGAAAACTCCTAAAAAAATAGTTCTGCTACCAGATGCTGCACATAGGATACACTAAATATAGTTACACCAATTTCAATTTTAGCAAAGAAGGCAAAGGCGGGCAGTAGTTTAATGAACATGAACGGACTCTATCTCAAAAGGTCGAGCATGGATTCCATAGGTGCAGTTACTTTCTAACCTAGTGTCTATTATGAACTCCTTCAGGCACACTTAAAGAGGAGCAGATAATAGTGCATGCACTGTACTCAACAAAAACGTAGCTCTTCATTTCAGCTCCACTCGTTGGTATCGCTTTCAGTCTTAATATTTCTTTCACAGTTGAGATATACGCCATCTGTTTGAATTATAGTGACATTGTTTCGCTGTCGACAGAACAGTAGGCGTCCAGTTCATGGGTACATCCAAACGACGGCTATTGATAATCGTTCTGCCTTTGCTTTCAATCAAGTACTCTCCACATGTGTTCCGCACGAACAGACCGAGTCGGATAAGGCAAATCGTGGTTCTATCATCAGATAATTTCGCACACACAGAACGGAGGCAGAACAGGGCAGAGATAGTGATGGGGAACGACAGCTTCAACCTTACGTCAACGATAAAAGCAGGAGTTTCCCGCAAATGCCCTTAACACGCTGACGACGATGTCAGGCAATGGTGGGGACAGAAAGCCTGTCTCGTGGGTTGATGTGAGAGAACGCTGTCTGACAGTATATTGCTCTGATAATAAAGATGTGCAAGCAACCAAGTTCGTTGAAATCGTGTCTCTAGGGCTAGCTTGACGCTCTGAAACGAACATCATAGTTGCTTGGCACGAACTAAATGACGCCCGCGCCACAGGCGCCGGCGCCAAAATACCATAAATCACCAAATTAGCTGAAAACTTGTCTCCTGGGGCAGTTTGACCCCCTTGACATGAATATCGCATTGTCAAGATGCTGTCTGGTGCCCACGCCAACGGCGCCGGCGCCAAAATACAATAGGGCACCAAATCCGCTGAAAACTTGTCTCTTAAGGTATGAATATCACACCTGCTCAGCGCGAAGCTGTGTCTAGCGCCCGTGTAGCAGGCGATGACATGACACGCATGCATTTACCCAACGCGCGTAGCGCGAAACTGCCTGGTGCCATCGCCTGTCATGCCAGGAAGTTTTGACAGCCAGAGCGAAATTCGTGTTCCGAAAGTAAAATCGCGGGCGAATTCAATATCAGATCGGTCGTCAAAGAGAAAATAAGTGCCTGGTTTTGGAAGACTGGGGCAGTAGAAGGTAAATTGTGCCAAAATCAAGACTCATATCCTCGTTAGGCATTCTTTAATACGGTTTGATTAGAATCACTTATATGTCTGAAAATTACTGAACTGCATCAGGTAAAATATGCTGTTTCACGCGCAAGTCATGAAGAAAATGGCTCGTCGTCAACGTGTTAAGGGAGCTGAAAATAGTGCGCGAAAAGGAAGGTCTCTTGCCATATCGGTGGAATTATGAAGTAATACGCCACTCCGAACTCCTTAAAAGTGACCCCATTGCGATGGCGAAGACAGACGAAACAAATAAGCGATGAGCTACATGCTGATTTTTTTCGAAAACAAGAGTAGGAGGTTATTACACTCAACGGTTTGGTTGATGGTTAGACTCCTCTCGGGTCGAGTTTTTGCATTTTTCATGTTTCGCTATTCTCGCTTATATAAATGTCTGTGGTGAGTATAACATGAATATCTGCCATCTATGGGCAAACTAGCCGGCTCGCCGGCTAACGCCGGCGCGCCTAACTGAGATACAGCACCGCATCGCCGAGCGGGCGCGGCTCCGCCGCCTTACCTTCTTATACACATTTCAATGCGCACCTAGTATCCGGTTTCTCTTTTATATAAACAGATAGTCAACATTTTGTGACCAATAGCATGTTCATATTCCACATTTTCAACACTACGGTGTATGGAATGGTGATAAGGAGCGAGTGGGAAGCCGGGTATTAGTTGAGCATTTGATCATGCGAATGCAGGTAGGCGCGATGGAGCCATGTCTTGCAAGGCCGGGTCACAGAGTTCTGCAGTGCCAGGAGTCTGGAACCGTTTGAAGAATTTCTAGGACCGACCCCGCCCATTTAGACGCACGCCCAGCCCACGACGTGTGCCTCGCGCTTCTCAACTAATAACCTCTCGCTGATCTTAAACTACTTTTTCCCCGTGTCTGTAGTGCCCTGGAACCGTTTTGCGAATTTCCTAATTTGGCTCCACCCACTTCGGCGCAGGCTCCACCCACAACGGGACTGCCTCGCACGTTGATCACTCGGGGACCATAATCTCCCCTCTGGCACCATCTGCAGTGCTTTAGGACCAAACTACGGCCTTTCATACTGGTACCTCGTGCTCAAATGCACCCCGCCCACTGTGGGCGGGCCTCCACGCCGCAAACATAGTGGTACCTTGCCAGACGTTCGCTTTCATCATGGACTTTTCTGCGATCTCTGAACGTTTTCGGGAACCGAGTAACCGACCTTTATGGGAAGCGCCGCTCATGTCAAGTACGCCCCGCCCATTTCGGGTGTATATCCTGCATTTGGTGTAATAACCCACTGCTAACCTTATTCCACTTTTTCCCGTCTCGGAGCTGCTTTGTAGCCAAGTTATGGTGTTTTTTTCAGTGACATGCCGCCCATTTGCGGTGTGTCTCCTCTACCTGGTCGGGCAGCCATCTGTTAACCATCGCTCTGTTCCCACATCTCGGGACTGCTCTGGAGCCGAGTTATGACTTTTTTCAATGACATCGCTAACTTTCAACGCACGCCCCGCGAGCTGTGGGCGGGGCTTAAAATGGGTCATAGGTGCTGTGAAGGTTTTGCCCCATGTTCTACCCATTCTGCCACCATGACCGACTTCTCCGAGTTCTTCACGTGCTATGAATATGATAAAGGCGTGCATAATTAAAACGCAGCTTTTTCGATAGTGGGCTGCTCATACGGTGCTGTAGTGATCGAATCGTGACAGATAGAGCAAGGCTTAGAATCCTGCACTACTTAGCACACGCTTCTATTTGCAGCAGGGGTGTGGTCCGAGCCATAACGCCCATACAATACATAGACATAGATACAATGTGCAGTCGGTCAATACAAAGCAATATGAATCGCTCAGTAGAAGAGTAAATTCCATTTCCATTAACTGCACCTAAATGCCTACAGATTGACGCTTCCCTTTTTAATTACCATGCAACCCGCTAGCTGAAGTACAAATATTGTGGGTATCATACTCCCTTATTAATCGTTCTCATCAGTAATCGAGGCGAGGGTGCAATGCGCTAAATATGCAAGATGATGAGGAATTTTTTTTATTGAAATGCAGGAAAATGAGTTCAAAATAGATCAAAATCAGTCACTATCTACCAACATCTCGTCCCCCCCCCTTTGCTTACTACAGACTTTCAACCGTGAGAAGGCTGCACCATTTCATTAAGGACCGCGGTTGCGATAACGAATGGGTACAGTTGAATAAGTCCAGATGAGTCCTCAACAAGCGGAAGAGGAATAACTGCAGGGTAATGGGTGGTGCACTGAAAAAGAGAACTCCACATTGTTTGTACATATGAATGTTTGTGTCGCGCGGACACGGGAGAGCTCGAATGACCACCGACAGGACGCTGCCGTTCCAATTGTTGGGTTCCCCCTTATTTGCGACGCCACTTCCTAACACATCACATAGGAGGCAGATTTGCGAAAATTTTTTTATGGTGAATTTCTCTATTTTCCCGTTTTCAGCCGCACACTATACCCCCCCACACGGCTTCGACAGCACTGCATGCATCGGAAAGCAAACGCTTCATTGGACGACCTTGACTCTGTTGCCATCAAAGTAAAGGGATCACACCCGAGCCTCTAATACTCGGCATCAGCGCGGTAAGAAGTGATAAAATGTAGCGCAGATGGGTATCTTATCTGTTTATATCGATTGATAAGAATTACTGTCACCGGACATCAATGTCCTCATCACCAAATCTCTATGATTTGGTTAAGCGACGAAGACTGCAACTTCACCTACCAGTCTCTATCAGTAGTTATCGCTTCCGTCACCCACGATTAATGTCCCACCTCACCCTCTGTATCACTTGCTGAGATGTACCCTCGCTGATGTAGTGACCTCGCTGTGAATACCAAGACCTCACCATTCTAACGCCACTTATCGAATCTTATCAGCAGCTTACAGTTCTTGTCACCCACCAATAATGTCTCTGGCCCATACTCCTTATCATATCTCGAATCAAGAGTTAGCTGATGCTTGCGTTATGATATGGTGACCTTCTCCCTAACGCCCCTTATCGAACCTTATTAGCAGCTTGCAGTTTTTGTGACCCACTAACGATGTTTTTGGCCTATACCCTACATCATATCTTGGAATCAAGAGCTAGCTGATGCTGCTACCCGCCTTATGAATATGGTGACTCCACCTTCTAATGCCTCCTCTATCGGATCTTTTCAACTGATATCACTTCCTGTCACCCACCAATAGTGGTCCCGTCATACCTCCTAACCATTTCTTGGAACCAATGTTTCACTGCTACTGGACCGGCGCTATGAATTTCGTGACAAACAGACGAACGCACACTTGCACGCACGGACATAGCGGATTATATAAAGTAGGATTCTTAATAGTGGCACTCTTGAGCGGTGCTACTCCACTATTACACTTTTCTCATACCACTGAAGGCAACGCCTGCGTTCTGTTATTAATACGCCCTCTCTGGATATCGCAGCTCACCAATGAGGGTGTGGACGTACTAGTTTCGCAACTGAAAAATGCGAGAGAATAGCGGCGCCGTTCGTGAAGAGGTCGGCCAACCCCGCCCACCTGGCAACCACTAGGCCCAGTTTCATTTCTAATTGTTACTTGATGTGCGTTGTTCCGCTGCTGCTTCTATCCACGTCGAGTGGTGAGAGTGAGGTGATGAGGAAAAACAGCTGATACCAACAAGTGAGAACTGGTGCGGCCGCGCCTTATCTTCGCCTCAAGCACGTACAACCTCAGCCCGTATGGGGTTCGGTTCTATATAGGAGATATCCAATGATATTCTTTCTGTTTTCTTTACTAATGAAATAATTTCTAACTTGCTGTCAATGTCTGAACCCATGACACACCAAATTGAACGCGGGCGCTGCTTTAAGCAAGGCCCGTACTGAAGGTTGATTTTTATGTGTAATTGGTATGACATGAATATGGTAGTTGATTTTAATTTTGCTGCATCTGTCTTCGATTTGTGATCCACATCATTCTCTCACCGAATTCACTATGAACACCCATATAATGGCCTTTAGCGCTACTCTGCCGCCAAATTGCGTCAGGCGCCAAAAATAAGTGTCAGAACCGTGATAAGGACGATCGATTACCCCTGTAGAATGATTTCGCTGGAAAAAATTTTTTTGAGCCTCTTTGGGTTTGTGTATTTGGTTGTGCACACGAGTCTTTCTATTAAAGTCGCAGTTTGCCTAGTTGTTCAAACCTTCCCATTTATTGATAAATAAACACAAAACTAGCAACAAGAATAACGTAATTGAAAAAAGAAAAACTCAGTCATCTCCCTAGGTGCATTTTAAAGTGAACAAAGTTGAGTGAATCTGTTCCATCGGTAGGGGAATATCACCACAGCTTTGTCGAGTGAGTAGCTGATAGGGGTTGACAAAGTTCTTCACGTGCAGGCACCCAAGCTTATACCAAGCAGGGAAGGACCTTCGTTGCAGCAAATTTGCGACACTTCTGCCGGCCGCCCGCTAGCGTGTCGCTACGTCATCGCCGCTACGAAGGTGTGAGACTCCAATCATCACAGTCGACCAAATGGTCCGCCACATTCCGGAAAAGTCGAAAAGTTGTGTTCGGTCGAAACTTTGTCTTATAGGGTAATCGATGGTCCTGATCACGATTCTGACACTAATCTTTGGCGCTTAGGCAATTTGGCGGCATCGTAGCGCTAAATTTCCTTATATGGGTGTACGTAGTGAATTGCTTGATCGTATGAGAAAATTTAATATTAGGTTGATTGGCTCTTTTTCATTTGAATTGGCGCGTGAATAATAAAGTGTTCTGGCACACTGTTTTATTGTTATTCGAAAGAGCTTTTCTTTCTCTATAAGATAGCATATGAGATTTTTTTGTTGACCTTAATTTTTTATTTTTCAGATCGTTAAAATGGAGTGCCAAGTCGACAAAACGAGCACCTTCGACACCTTCTTCTTTTGCGTTCAATCAACGCAAAAGCTGCTAGTGACATTTGTGCTGTGTATGGAGAAGGCTCTACGCCTGAAAGAACTGCTCGAAATTGGGCGAAGTTCAAAGACCGCAAATTCGATCTTAAGGACGCTCCTCGTTCCGGGCAACCAGTCGAATTTGATGAAGAAGGTGTCGCAAATGCTCGGTCGTGGCACTCCATTTCCACGATCTGAAAATATAAAAAAATCGAGCTCAACAAAAAATCTCATATACTATCTAATAGAGAAAAGAAAGCTCTTTCGAAAAAACGCGCCATCACTTATTAGCCAACCCAACAAGTAGAGTAGCACCGAGGTGCCACTGTGAAGAATTTGCCCACAAATGGCAAATATTCATGTTATGCTTATGCACAGACATTTATATAAGCGAGAATAGCGAAACATGAAAACGCAAAAACTCGCAAGCCGAGAGGAGACGAACCATCAACCCCACCCTCAATGCCCGATTCATTATCCTTCACTCTATTCAGTAGGCCATGCAATCGTTGGTGATGCGCACCGCTCCGATGCCTGAAGAAACCATTCCAAAGAACCATCACTCTTGATCAGCGTGCCGCAAATGAGACTCCCTTTGCGACTATTTTTTTCCTCGATTCCAACGCACCTTTTCCGGACCCTCCACTCAGCAAGTGACAAAATTTGCAAGTGATTCGAGGCCCATAGAGGCTCAAGACCAATCGGTTCCCATAGACTTCTTTTCCACTCCTTCTTTGGTATTCCAGAACCAATTCTCAATTAGGGGAAATGAACTCAGCGCAAAACATCACGCAAAAAGCCGTTTTCAAAAAGCGCGCCACGTCCTGGCTCCCTGGTTAGGGCATAGAATACCTATTCTATAGCATAGCCTAGCAAGAGACCTATCTATTAGGTGTCCGGAAGTTCTTAGCGTTTGTGCACCTAATCTTTGTACATTCACTGCCTGATTAAAAACTCATTCTGCCTTGCTTCTCAGTAGCACATCCTGTAGAGAATTTCTTGCGCTATCCGATGGTATAATTGCCGTTTCACCATTGCTTGATAAACCCTCTTTTTCAAGATTTTTTCAAGCATTGTGAAAAGAGCACTTCGGACGATTTTTTTCTTCGGCTATAAATTGGGGCAATCCGCAATCGAAACAGCTCAACAAATTAACCAGGTGTGGGGCGCCCAATACTGCTAAAGAAAGCACTGTGTGGCAATGGCTCAATAAATTTCGCTCTGGAGATTTCAGCCTTGAAGGTGAGCCTCATAGCGGGTCGACCTAAAGCAATATCTGACGAGGGATTTTAGGGGGATTTTTGAAGGTTGACCCATCCAAACAGTTCGAGAGGATAGCCAGAAGAGCTAGGCCTTGGCAAATCCACTGTTGCAGATGGTCTGGAACGCATTGGAAGGCTGAAAAAACTCGACAATTGGGTGCCTGTCACAATCGGAGTGACCGGCAGGAATCTCGCACGTCTCGAGGTTCCTTCTTCACTGCTTTGTCGCAATAAGAATTGACCCGTTTTTGAACGGATTTGTCACCTGTGATGAAAAATGGATTATATATGATAACAGGAGACGTTCCGGACAGTGGGTGGATTTGGAGGAACCACCGAGGTAATTTTCAAAGCCGAACCCTCGCGAAAAAAAAATTCTGGTCAGGTTTGGTGGTCATCGGCTGTTGTAATCCACTATAACTTTTTATCACCAGGCCAAACCATCACAGCGAGAACCCTACTGTGAACAAACCGACCAAATGAAAACGAAAATATTGTCAGCTGCAGCCAACACTTATCAAAGAAGGGGTCGATTCTTTTGTATGACAACGCCCGCCCACACGTTTCACAAATCACTATCCATAAATTGAACGAATTGGGAGTTGAAGTTCTACCTCACCCACCATATTCTCTAGACCTTCCCAACCGACTGTCACCTTTTCAGACATTTTCAGAACTGTCCTTGCTGAAAATACTTCATCAATTAAGACCAGGCAAAAAACACCTTCGCAGATTCGTGGATTCTCGACCACCCAGTTTTTTCCTTGATGGGATTTCTCGACTGCTGCCCCATTGGCAAAAGTGTGCTGATTCGAATGGTGCTTATTTGGATTAAATCCGATGAGTGTTAAGAAAGTTATGATCGTTTAAAGTTAAAGACCCAAAACGCTAAGAACTTTCCGGACAACCTAATAAAAGGCAAACGATAAAGAAATAGAGCTTACGCCTCCGGTCACTTTTTTTCGAAACCTGGCACGTTATAGTCTCACACAGCATCGTATCACGGCCTATAGAACGACGACCTGTGGGGGCCTGGCGATGTACAAGTCAGTGTTTCTCGCTCGCAAGACAAATCTGGTACGAGTTTACCTACCACCTGGCGGGTAAAACGCCTGGTTGGTATAGGCGGGAGCGGAATTTGACGCGCTGCTGCGCGCGTAGTAAGTGGGCCACTTGTCACTACACCATCCGCGCCTCACAGACTTGCTTAACTTGTCATATTTCTTGATCTTCGTATTTACAGACTCACTTCAATCAATAAATAATATAGTAATAACAATCAAACCTCCGAAATACTGCCACGTTTTTCAGCACGATCCCGCTCCCTGAACTCTAGCGATAATCATAATACTACGCTCTTCGGTGCTGACTGAGCCTCTACTAGAAACGCCTCTCACATAGTGCTACCCTTCTGTTGAGAAATTTCTGACGAAGATCCCTTTAGGAAATCCACTGGGAAGGACCTTCGGTAGGAAAGGGGTGCACTAACTCAGCCATGAACCTACCCATCATGGTGTGATTGTGAAAAGAGGCACCCATACTACAGACAAGCCAAAAGAGTTACACCTGGAGGACAGGAGGGCCGAACGCATCAGCATACGCTGGGAAAAGGGCAGGGCTGGTCCGGATAAGAAACGGTGGTATTTCACAACGTGCTGGAGAAGCAGTGTCTCGTCAGACAGTGTGGTTGAGTGTTGTTAGACAGTCCCATAATTTCCGGAGCGTCTTGGCCCCGTAATGAAGCTTTCCTCAGTGGGCGCGGTTCTGATGTTGTTAATTATCGCCGGACTTGCTTTCAGGAAAGTGTGCTGATCACAGCGATAGGACTGGGAATTTGTTGATGTATAACGTATAACTGTATTTATAACATAACAAAATTGTGTACAAGGATAACACCACCACCAACAACCCGTGTGTGGTTATCGGGGAATACTCAAAGAAACTGAACGTCAACATGTAATCACATAAGGCCTCACGGACTCAATTTTTTATTCAGTGGTCTTTTAAATGTGCTGTACCTCAACGGTATCGGATGCTTTTTGTTGAGTTTGTCATACGAAGATAAGACTCTATGGGTAAAGAAACGCTTCCCATTATTTAGCTTGCTTTAACAAGGTTGTATTTATTAGTACTGAATAGGAGATGATTCGAGCGAATAAGTGTCCAAGTAAAATAGGTTCCCGCGCATGAGCTTATGCAAAAGCAGGAGGTTCCCGCGAACAGGGTACAGCATGAGGATGTGCGAAATGGCGATCCCTGCCCTGAGAGTGTGACCACCCCAAGGCAGGGATAGCCGAGTGGTTAAGAGTGCGGACCCATAATCTCACTAAGAACCACGAGTTCGATCCCTGCCGAGGCACAAGCCATGCCTTGCAAAAATTGCAAAAACGGGGACGATACTAGCGTCAGGCCCAGGTTGACAGGCCGGCTGATGGAGGAACCCGTCACAACCATCGTGACAAGTCGCAAAAGTATCAGTGTAAAAGCTAGGACGTCACCCGGAAGTGGCGCGCAGAACCCTCGCCCGAGTTCTGTGGTCAGTATGCGAGTGCTACCGAGGGGTGAACGAGCTCGGCCAAAGAAGCTAGTTCGAATTGGGATCCTGAAAGCGGGGTCGCTCACCGGAAAGTCTCGTGAGGTTGCCGACCTCACGAGACGGAGGAATACTCAAGTCCTATGCTTGCAGGAAACGCGATGGAAGGGTGCGAAGGCACGGGAGATTGGAGAAGGTGTCAAACTCTTCTACAGTAGAGCAAACACCAAACGGAATGGCGTGGCCATAGCGGTGGCAGAAGCCCTCAAAGACTGCGTCTCCTCTGTAAATAGGATCGGTGGGAGCGAGAATGGACACGAAGGAGGGGTACTGGACAGTATTGACCGTGTACGCACCACAATCCTGTTGGTCCGAGGCGAAAAAGGATGAGTTCTACCTGACTCTAGACGAAGCCATAAGATCGGTTCCGGTAGAGGACTACCCCACCATAGCCGGGGATCTAAATGGCCATGTGCGAAGTGACAGAAGGGCTCTAGAAAGGGTGCACGGAGGTCACGGAGTAGCGACAAAGAACGCTGAGGGAGAACGGATCCTTGACCTGTCCATAGCCCACGACTTAGCAATCTGCAGCACCTTCTTCGCTTCCCAATCTTAGCTCTATTTCAGGAGCCGGAATCTTCCACTGCAGAGAATTCCCTAGAAGTAATGAGACCACCGCTCGCTCGCAACTTTCTCCGATAGGTTTCAAAAGTAACCTAGCTCGCTGCATATCATCTAGATGAATGAGCACACAACGCTTGCAATGCTGATTTACGATTCCCGTGACTTCACTAGCTTATAGTACGCACTTTTATAGCAAGAAGACGCAACTCTTTTCAGTTGAGGCACGTTATTTTTCCGACGTTTGAACTTAAAAGTCTTCTCGCTCAAATGATTCTCAGCCCTCACAGGGTAAGGATGGTAGGTCGAAGTGGCCATTCGAAATGAAATGTATACCGGCTTCAAGGTCTTCAGACGGGGACTACGAAACCGTCTTCCCTATCTGCTGCGGACCTCCCAGAAAGAAGTTACGGATGTTTTTAGGAGAAGAATATTCGCATTCAGTACGAATTGGCGGCGTAAGGTTGATATGATCGTGGCAGCATGGCCGAGTGGTAAGTCGTAGGGCTCACGAATGTCGAGAGTTTGAATCCTTGTTGCGTGTGCTCTTTTGCATTTTTTCGAAAGTGGTCCCTGTGCACTTCAAAGCAATTTTGCATAACTCCTGTGCCTGATGTCGTGACGTAATGTTTCCGAAGTAATGGAGCCACTGCGAACGATTCCATGGGGAACATTTTTTGGCTGTCGACCTCTTCTCCCTTTGATATGAAAAGCACATACAACAAAAGTGCATTCCAACGAATGATTTTGCCCCGAGAATGACTTTATTCTCCAAATG